GTGTGTGTGTGTGTGTGTGTGTGTGTTTTAGCGGGGGAGAAGGTGGCAGTGGGCCCGCAAGCGTGACACGCCCATGCATGAGCACGGGGTTGCCCCGCCCACCCGCAAGCGCAGGGGTGCCTGCCCCCCCACCGGTCCTCGCATGAAGCCAGTACCCCCCAAATGGTCCGCGGTCCCAAAAACGTTGAGGACCACTGCCGTAGAGGGTGTTGAGAATCAAGATGCAAACACAAAGCTTGGAGGAAAGCAAGTAGAGGAGGAGATGGACATATCCATGGCTTTTCCAGAGGTAGTCCATCAGAAAATATCCGAGGGAGAGCGGTCCCAAAAACGTTGAGGACCACTGCCGTAGAGGGTGTTGAGAATCAAGATGCAAACACAAAGCTTGGAGGAAAGCAAGTAGAGGAGAAGATGGACATATCCATGGCTTGTCCAGAGGAAGTCCATCAGAAAATATCCGAGGGAGAGCGAAGCCATGAGTGCCCCAAGTGTGGGGAAACTTTTGGACAGAGATCACCTCTTACAACCCATGAAAGAATTAACTCAGGGGGAAAACCATATAAATGTCTGGAGTGTGGAAAAACATTCAGTCACCACGGAGACATTGTTAGATATCACAGGACCCACACAGGCGAGAAACTGTTTAAATGCCTGGAATGTGGAAAGAGTTTTAGTCAGTCTGCAAACCTTGCTAAACACTTCAGTATCCATAAAGGTGAGAAACCATTTGAATGCTTGCAATGTGGGAAAACCTTTAGACTGAGAGAAATTCTTCTTATTCATGAAAGAACTCACTCAGGAGAGAAGCCATTTAAATGTCTGGAATGTGGAAAAAGCTTCTGTCATCCTGCACATCTAATTAGACATCGCAGGACTCACACAGGCGAGAAGCCATTTAAATGTCTGGAGTGTGGAAAGAGTTTCAGTCAATCTGGAAATCTTGCTGCACACCTTAGGACCCACACAGGCGAGAAACCATGTGAATGTCTGGACTGTGGGAAAACCTTTGTAAAGAGATCACATCTTACCACCCATGAAAGAATTCATTCAGGGGAGAAACCATTTAAATGTCTGGAGTGCGGAATAAGCTTTGGTCGATATACTGCCCTTGCTATACATCACAGGACCCACACAGGCGAAAAACCATTTGAATGCCAGGAATGTGGGAAAAGCTTTGGGCTGAGAGCACATCTTACAGCCCATGAAAGAATTCATTCAGGGGAGAAACTGTTTACATGCCCAGAGTGCGGAAAGAATTTCAATCGGAGTGAAAACCTTGCTACACACCTCAGGAGCCACACAGGCGAGAAGCCATTTGATGCCAAGAATGCGGAAAGACCTTTCGAATGAAAATATCCTTCACTATTCATCGAAGAATTCACAGGAGGAAGAAACCTGACATAGGTCTTGAATGTGGAAAAAGCTTTATTTGTGGTGTCGATCTTATTAAAGATAAGCACACCCTCAAGAGGGAGAAGCCCTTTAAGTGTCTGAGGTGTGGAAAGTGTTTCAGTCAAAAGTCAAGACTTGCTATCCATCAAACCATCCACATAGAAAAGAAATCATTTAAGTGTCCAGAGTGTGGAAAGGCCTTCAGAAAGACGTCCCATCTTGAGGTACATTGTAGAACTCACATTTCAGAGAAAAGTTATAAATGCCCTGAGTGTGGAAAAAGGTTAAAGTCAGGTCAGACCCTTAGAATATACCGAAGAGTCCATACAGGGGAGAAACCTTTTAAGTGGCAGGATTGTGGAAAGAACTTCCGTCAGAGAGGTAAACTTACTATGTGTTACAGAATCCACACAGGGGAGAAGCCTTTTAAATGCCTGGAGTGCGGAAAGTGCTTCAATTGAAGGCACTGTCTTCATCCCCAACCTTTTCTAAACCATGGAGTGGTTGGAGGGGGGGGGTCTGTGCGTGCGGGGCACTCCCCGTTCATGGGTAGATGGGGCACGCTCATGCATTTGTGGGTGTCCACGTGTGCACACACAAAGATGGACAGCGCGTGCTTGCGGGTGGGAGGGGCGTTCTTGTATCGGTGGGGTGCACTCACATGCATGCACAGGTGTGCGCGGCACACGTGTACGCATGGGTGAGGCACCCCTGTGGGGGGGGGCGTGCGTAGAGAGCATGCGTGTGTGTGGTGTGGGAGCTCTGTCTCTGCAGCCTGGGCCTGTCAAGGTTGGGGATCCCATCTTTAAAGGATGCATGGAGAGAGTACATCCACCCCCGTTGTAATGATGGGTTGTATTCCTCCATTCATCCATGTGAGTAAGGGAGGACAAAACTGGAGAGTCAAACATGGAATAGAAAAGTTTGAATGGGAAAACTCCACAGATCCTCGCAGCAGGAGGTGTCACAATTACTTGAAGAATGTGTTTATCACCTCTTTCTCAAGTGACAAAGTTCAGTGTCTTAATCTTAAAAATAAACCACCATCACCATGACTTCATTGTTTCCGACCAATAGCCTGTTCAATATACTAGGTAAGAGAAAATATCGAATTTAAACAGAGGTGATTATACTAATTCCTTGAGATGCTTATCATCAGTCCAGTGACAGCCCCCTTCAAAACAGATATCCAAACTCACTGATCAAACTGATGGGGATTCTACAAACAAAACAAGAACATTGTTACTTGACTACTGATGCCAATTATCCTACTTTTAAAGTCCAAAAACGTGAGTTTATGGGACACATAGGTATTGCCCTAAAAATGAAAAGGTCTTTTAAAATGTTCCTCAGAGGTGTGCAAAAAAAGTTAAAGTATTGTTGAAAAACTACAGCTGAGGAAAACAGTTTACCAAACTTGTTTGAATTTTGAATACACAGAATACAACTAGTTCTTTTGAGTACACAAAGGAACTGATAAAATAACAAGTCTCGTGCAGTTTCACACCAGCTTTTGCAGTGAAAAAGGTAAATAATAGAATGTTTAGTCGAGTGAACAGAGACAAAAGAAAAAATACAGAAGTGCATTTTACTTTGTCGCTTGAGTTATCTTTTGCCTATAATGTAAATTAACAAGGAGATACTACAAAATGGATGTGGAGATCTGTATTAAACAAATGAGAATAATAATATACAGTATTGGAAAATAGAAGTGTTTACAAAATAGAGTAAATGGTGAAAAAGATTAATGTTCCCTTCAGCTGTTTCTTAATATGCAAAAAGAGGGAAAACAAAGATGTCATTTGTTGTATAAGCAGTAAGCCTCCTGAGTAACAGTAGCTAAGGTCTGAAAGGAGTATAAAATCATATAAGATTTATGAATGAAATATGCATATGTCTTGGACTGTCCCCAAGGTATTATTTTACTTCGTCCTTGAAGGCCAGGAGCAAGCCAGGCCAGGCACTGGACTCTCAAAGAGTTTGCAAAGTCAAGCCTTTGAGAGGCAGGAAACTGGAAAGAGTGAGCTTTGAGGTGAGAGCCTTCCTGACCTTAAACCTGTAGGGCTCTAATTGGATGAAAAGTAGACACTAATAATGTTTCACTAGGCCCTATAAAGAAAGCAGTCGCTTAGTGAGATATAATGGAGAGTCATTGTATCCGAAGGGAACGGAAAACATGGACAGTCTGAAAACAGCCAGGAGATACAGTAACTTGGACACAATATACCATATTTCCCGTGTATAAAATGACACTTTCCCCTAAAATAGAGGAAAAATTGAGTGTCGTTTTATACACGGAAGAAAGCAGTCACACACACATTCGGACACCTCTTGCCACCGCCACCATCATTTCCCAATTGCCTCTTCCAGAGCTCACGGCTTGACCCCTCTGGTGGACCCAAGGCAGCAGCAGCAACATAGACAGAGGTGAATGAGCATTCACACACGCTCAGGGGCCTCTTGCTGCTGCTTTCCTAACCCACCCCATTCACCACCTCCACTGGGACTGAGGGGCTCAGTTTACGTGTCCACCTTGTCCCCTCCAGTGGTGGAGGGAAACAAGCATGCATGCACGCACATGCACGCTCGGGCACCTCTTCCTGCTGCTGCTGCCAGATCACCTCCTCCCACAATCTCCTTACGGCAGGGGACAAGGCAGCGACATGAGCTGGAAATGAGGAGGAGGTAATCAGGTGGGCAGCGGAGACAGCAGGAGATGGAGGAGCAGTTGCCCATTAACTGCTCCTCTGCCTTGATCAAGGCAGAATTAGGAGGTCGTTTTATACATGGAGGTTGTATACACAGTAAAATACGGTAACTATTAACTGGCTAAAGGCTTGGTGAGAAAATGTTTTCAACATGGTTAGGTAAAGGTAAAAGTCCCCTTGACATTTAGTCCAGTTGTGTCCAACGCTAGGGCATGGTGCTTATTCCCGTTTCCAAGCTGCAGAACCAGCGTTTTGTACGTAGACAGTTTCCGTGGTCACGTGGCCAGTGCGACTAGACACGAAATGCCGTTACCTTCCCACCAAGGTGGTACCTGTTTATCTACTTGCATTTTTACATGCTTTCAAACTGCTAGGTTGGCAGGAGCTGGGACAAGCAACGGGAGCTCCCTCTGTTGCGTGGATTCAATCTTACAACTGCTGGTCTTCTGACCCTGCAGCACAGAGGCTTCTGCGGTATAGCCTGCAGAGCCACCACATCCCTTCAACATGGTTAGAGCTTAATAATGCTTTTTACTTTTATATTATTACTTTTAAAGCTTAAAACTTTTTCATGCCTTTCACTAGGAGTTTAAGGCTCTTTGCTTGTTATACTTTTCTTCTTAGGAACCTGAAGTGCCCAGATCCCATAACCTTGGGTTTCCTAGGACTCGAGATGTATTCTCTGCCTTAATACACTGTGATCTCCTATGTTTTAATGCTTTTGTGTTTTGTATTTTCATTCATACATGGCTTAAATTTTGCCTATAATATACCTTTGAATTCCTGCTTCTTTTTACAAGTTGCAAGGATGAATTTTAAGTAAGCCCATGCTTACAATTTTTGTATAACTGTGTGACTTTTGAATTTAAGCATATGTGCCTACAGTTTTCTCCTTATCACTGTAAGACTGTCTTTGAATTTTCGAATTTGCTAATTTTTAAGCATGGAACCTAGAGACAAAGAAACCTTTCCATAGAAAAACTGTCAGCCTTTTAACTTATCACAACACTGCTTCACCCATCCTTCAATCTACAATTGCTTCAGCAGTTGGTCAGAGAATGGTAATCCAAACCACTGTAAAGACATTTTAAATGCCTCTGGCTGCAGTATGAACAACAATATTGAGAGGACCCGAAGAGTTCTGATGAAGTAGGAACTCAGTCCATGTTCTGAACTACTCCAGTCCTCTGAAGACGCCGGCCACAGAGACTGGCGAAACGTTAGGAAGAACAACCTTCAGAACACGGCCAAAGAGCCCGAAAAAAACACAACGACCATCGTATCCCGGTCGTGAAAGCCTTCGAGAATACAGTTCTGATGAACATTTGTAAATTCCACATGGGGCTAAGGTTTCTTAACGGATTGGTTTACAATCCTAAGGCAGGGATGGGTGATGCCTTTACCAGACCACTAATAAAGCACAAAAGTAAACTGCCTTTCTACCGCACATGGGTTTGCATCAGGCTGGGCACTACAGGGATGTGAGTGGTACAGATGATAAATGATAGCCAGATGTGCATGCTGGGTTATCCTGTTAAAAATTTTAAAAAAAGGGAGTGCAGGCTAGGATCAGATGTGTAGATCTCAGATAACAGAATATATCTAAAGAGGAGCAACTAAGATGGTAAAAGCATGTCCTGGGAAACCCATGGCTATGGTGCTGAGTTCTGGGAGCTGAGGATATTTAGAGCAAAGCAGAGCAAACTTAGGAAGAAAATAGGATTGCGGTTAGGAAGACCTTCTTGACCAGACTGTGGGGAGATTCAACCACCTAGAATCTGTTCTCGCAATGAACGGAAGATGTGCCAAACAAGTGAGGTGTAACACAAGAAATCTTAATTTTAGTAATAAAAGGTACCACACTCTAGCCCTAGGTTCCCAACCTTTGTTACTCGGATGTTTTTGAACTGCAACTCCCAGAAACCCCAGCCAGCACAGTTGGTGGTGAAGGCTTCTGGGAGTTGCAGTCCACAACTCCTGAGTAAGCCAAGGTTGAGAACCAGTGCTCTAGAGTCTAGACAAAGACAGAAGAAAGCATTACAAAACTATGATGCAGTCACCAGACTCTTATACCTTTCAATTTTGAACGAATTCTGCTAATTTGTGGGAGGGGACACTTAGGAGTGATTGTGGCCCTTTCCTCATTCCAGTGATCAACCAGGGGTTCAACAAAATTGCCTGCCAAGGTAGCAAGAAAATCCCCAAGAGCTGTCAGATCCATCAGCCTCCTGGGGCAGACCATGTTAATCGGTTCTCCACCACTGCAGAGGCTCCAAGTTCCAGTGAGTCTAAACACCCACCAGATGATGATCTGCCCAAGCCAAGGGGACTCCAGCACCACACCCAGGACCAGGTCAGTGAGCTCAGACAGGGAGACTATTGAGCAGCAGGGTGGGCGGTGCACCAACAGAATCTCTATTCTGTCCCGGGTTCTTGCTTTCAAATACACATGTTCAAAACCGGAAAACTGGGGGATGTGGCACCAGGTGAAAGGGATACTATCACGCTACACCACTGCAACGCCACCTCCCTGTCCTGCAGCTCCTGCTTGCTGCTGCACAGAGAACCCTGATGGACAAAGCTGAGCGAGATTGACTCAATGGCCTTCCGAGGCTCTTCCAGCTGATCTATTCGATGCTTCTATGAAATGACGGAATTAAAAATTAAATTCATTAACAAGATGATGTCATATAGTGGTTAACACTAGAAGACTAAAGGAAAAATGATAAATTACACACTAGGCTAACTGTACAATGCCAATTAATTACAGGATATGTAAAATTCACTGTAAAATGAACACGTCAATGGGTCTTCACATTGGGTGAGAAGGAACAGCAGGCATTCCAGTCAGAAATTCCAAAAGGTGGTGAAAACTCATCAGATCTCGCCCGGACCAATTCTTCATGTATCCAGCCATCCTCCATTTCCATCTTCAACTTCAGCAACTTCCACATATCTGTACGTAGTCCACGTTCCCCCCCCACCTCTTGTCCCAGTTCTTCCTAATCCAAATCCCTACACCAGCAACCCAACTGCAACTTCATCCATCTCGGGAACTATCCAGCACAATCTCGATCCCTTTTTTCTCACCAAGCTTCCTCTCAGAAAGCACAAGCTTATGCTCCATTCATGTATGTCCCCTTTCCAGCTTCCTTTGTTGTCCCTTGGATGCAAGTCCTAATGCACTGTTCTTTGATGCTGTTTAACCCTAATTGAAGGGGTGCAGATGGCATCCTCTCACAGTCAGAAAGCAGCAATAAGGTTCCTTCCGGACCTCCCTCGGCATTAGGCCCCTCAGCCGCCTGGCCTGACTGGAATGAGTGACTCTGGCAGAACTGGATGGGAAA